ACAAAATATGCGGAAAGGAAGGAACAAACTCTTAATATTACCGTATTTAGGATGAAGCTTCACAATCCCCTAGGAGAAGAAGCATTTGTATTTTCAGGGAACTTCTCATAGTTAAAACAATATTTACATTGGTCTGGGCCTGTTCATAAACTACGTAGACAGTTTTTTGGGATTATTGACCCCCCCCCCCCTCCCCCTGCGTAGACAATCGCCCATACAAAAATTTTAAAATTCGTATGGATTGTGGATAATTTTCAACACCCCCCCCCCCCCTAAACTGTCTACGTAGTTTATGGACAGCCCCTCTGGGGAAGGTTCCTCAAATTGGTTGAAGCTCAAATTATCTATTCTTAACTTACAGTTTCGAGGCTATTGTCTTCTGCCCTTACTACAGCACTGTGGACGCCGTTCCGATGAACAAAGAATGCTGCGACGTTGCTCGATGCGTAGTGATCACGATGCGACAAAGGCGGTGTTCTACGACGAGGAAAAGTTGCAGAGCGATCGCTTGGTGGGAGTCGGCGAATGTGACGTAGCAGTGTCGAAAAACGAGAGGCCGACGCTCAACCACACTTGGCTTAGTGGGAGTCAGCAAGATTCCGATTCGATCAATGGGTCGACTTGCGCTCGATTTCCAATAGCGTTCACGAGCGGTCGATTTACTCGACGGATGAGTGGCAGTGACGGAAAGCGTGGATCACTGGGTGGGGTTATCTGATGAACTAGGGCTCGACAAATCGTTCACCCTCTGGGGTCACGAACGGATGGAAACCACCGGATATCTCACGATCCACGGTAATCACGTGATAACTTCCTATGCACTCGTCGAGGATTCGTAGAATATATAAAAAAAAACCCTTCGTTGAAGGGAAAACTACCCCGCAACGAAATTAATCTCTGCAATTCTCATACACCACGCGATAACACATACCTGCGTTTTTTTCTTCTCACAATTAATTGTCGGATTTCGACGGTTTATAATGGGTAATGAACTAGAAAAGACTACAATAACTATCAATTTAAGTATTTCACTTGTAATCTAATATCTCTGCTCACCTCACTTTTCAAATAAATTGGTACAGTTCAACTGGTATTAAGCAATAGACACGTCTGATTAGAATGCGTAGCTTCACGAAAGTGATTGTGTGGCTAATTGAAAACGCCTGATCAAGGTCCAGGCTAATTGCGTCGCAGAAAATTCAATATACATTTGTTGGCGGAACAATTGCTCAAACGCCGTGATGATCTGGAAAAGTCCGATCAAGAGGTTTTTCCATCGCATTCCCGCCTACAGTACAAGCCGCGCTATTATTTGAGATCCATATCTCTGAGTGTGAGCCATGCCGGCGCCGGTGGTGTAGTGGTAAGCGTGACTGCTTTCTAACACCCCATTTGGTCTGGGTTCAATCCCAGCCGAGGACGGTGGGATTTTTCTGAGGCATAAAAATCTCTGGTCACGTCTTCCTTCGGAAGGGAAGTAAAGCCGTTGGTCCCGGCCCATGTGTGTTGAATGGGTGCGATATCCTACGCAGGTGTGGAAGCTGCCTTCCTGCACATTCGATTGCCGTCAATGGATGGCAATCGATGTCCGTCGGTGATTGGCACTAGATTGCGGAACAGAGACCGACGTTAAATAAAGGAATGAAAATGAGTGTGAGCCATCTCACTACGCTGGCACTCATACTCCAAACATCCGGTTTGCTACCTGTGTCTGCGTAAGTGAGAGAATTCTAATTGAGTGAAGCCATAAAAAAAACAATCGTTACACGCACGCCGCACTTTATCTAGTGGTTGAAAGATGGCACCGCCACATGCTGTCAGATGGAGTTACAACAGTGTAGTCCACATGGACTGTTACAAACTGCAACATGATTTTGTCGGATGTGCGGTATTACCTGAGTACTTCGGACTCACTCAAAGTGCTTGTCACTTGGGAGCCAGTGTGAGCTGTCAAACGAACGCCAAACATTCAGACGCAACAAATGCACTTACTCTTCTTATCCATCGTCAAGCATTGTAATCTTATAAAAATGATCCATACTCTTTCATAACACATTTCTAATTTTTAGCTCAAATACAAAAACAAACAGGCTCAGTGATGAAAGCATAAAAACCAGCATATTTTTTATGAATAAGCTGAGTTTTCAATTGCAGTAAAACATACTTTGATGCAGTGTTGGGAAAATATCAAAAAATCAAATCTCCCCAACGCGCAATATCACGCTAGATTTTCGTAGACAAAAATCAACAAGCAAACAACTGCGGTTGATTTTGCAAGCTGTGATATCGCAGCTCGGAGTATCAAGCTAACAAAACTCACCAGCTGCAAATCTCAACAAACTGTGGTGAGATTGAGTTTCATGATTTTTGCTTTACACCCGAATGCAACTGGAACTGCCATAACGGCTGGCAGCAGTCACTTCGTGTCTGCCATCGGTGAAGAGTAAAAAGAGATAGCAAACTGGTATAGGGTATACGTCCCTAACCTCGGTCTAATATGCAGCCATAGATTACGTTTTTAATCATAACTCATCAATTAATTTACCTGCAAACGATATTCTACTGCTAAATGGTATGCTTAGATATGCTTATCATGTCGTTTGCTATCAGGAACCGCAAAAAGTTGAAAAACTTACTTTTTTTAAGACAAAAACTCACCAGGGAAATGTATGTAATATCGGTCTATTGTCCCCAAATTGGGTCTATTTATGGATGCAACTTCGTCCTATCCTGTTTGATTCTCAAAAAAAACGCTCTTGGTAACGTTTTCTTATGTATTTTTTTTTATCACTATCACTGTTAACTTAATACTCTTCATTCCTCAAAACATTTCTTAGAGAAAATTTTACGAAAACTACATTAAATCACTCAAGTTAAAAATTAAAAATTAAAAATTTCGCTTATCGTCTTTCGACCGCAGAATATCTAAATCAAAACATTGTGATGTTCATTATACAGGTTTGGCAGAAAAAATCTCCCTTCCTGTTCGTTCCTTATCATCCAAATGCAAACCACATTGTTGACGTTACTCTTATTGCTATATGCTGTCAAATGAATTTCATGGGCCAAAGTTAGGAACATAGAAAAGAAATGTGTCCCTAAAGTTGGGTCCATGATTTACTTGTGAAAACGTTGTTAAACAATTAAAATAAACATAAAATATTCAAACAGTAACTGTGAGTTTTACGTCTAGTGTGTATTATCAGGTAATTCCATTCAATAAATGCCATAATCAGGCCATTTGATGATCGTCAGTGCAACCTTCCCATCTTAACCTTAGAAGTCATGGCGGCTAAAAACTCCGAACAGAGTGATATTCTCAACCAGTTTTATTACTTACGAGAGCTGAAAATGTATTGAAATGTTGTGATATAAATTGATTTGTGTGTGGTACACATTTATCAATCATCAGTGATCAATATTTTCCTTATTTTTTGTGTAATATTCCTTAATTAATTATTTATTTGCGTGATAGGCCGAATGAAAGGACTAGACCCACATTACATACCGTAACCCTACTTTCTCTTTCTAAGAAAACGATGTGCAACAGAATCATTTTTGTGTCGAATCAACTCTCAGCTTGGTTTTTGCACGTTGAGAATAGTCTCGCAATAGGAGCTTGTAAAATCAATATCAAGCATGATATTTTGTTTTGCGCTTGACGAAACATATATGTAAACAAACTTTGATAGAGGCATGGGGGCTCAAGCCCTCCTGTTTCAGAGCTTTTGGCGGGAATAAACTGAGAACGAGCAAAACAGTTTTAAGCTTGAGAAAATTTTCAAGCAGTCTTCCATTGGCTTGCAAAATAAAATCGAACGACTCCGGAGTACCCAGTTTATTACAAACTGGACTAGACTAGATGCATGAAATCTTCAGAATCGTCATCAATCTTCTTTCTATCTACTCAGCGTGTGCGCAGCTATTCACAGCAAAACACAATCTTTCCTGCATCGTAGATACAGTCCCCCCCCTCCCCGCTTTTGTTCAGATAAATGGAATTAATAAAATTCATTCTAGTTTTGGCAATGTGATAGGTTACACGTGGAAGAGTTCTTTTTAAAAAAAACGTATCACAGAGCCATGAGTTCTTAACTAAAATCTTGTCTATGTACCGATTGGTAATTGGGTTGTTTAGGGGTATTGAGACAAATACATATTCGTTATCTGCATTAAAATGGAACCGAAATCCAAAATTTCATCAATTTTGGTTCACTGGAACTATTTTAAAAAAGTACGATTACATTAGCAAAAATCACCATCTTTGCCCCCGAATAGATTTAGTGTCAACGATCAAAAATATAAATCTTGATTTAAAAATCGAGATGAATGTCTACAGGATTGTTAAAAATATCGTTGTGCTCAGAAAACAAAGCTCTATCAGAAAGTGTATAAACATCGGTATATTTTTCGAAGTTAAACAACCCAATTAAAACAAATAGATGTTTGTAATTCGGATATATGTACTACTAAGTGTAACTTATCGTTGTTTTAACCTTTTAATTTATTGTGAGATATTTAAACTGAATTTTAAAATAACAGTTTTCCTCTTAAATTTCTCTAGAGTCGTTGGAAACAGTTGAATATCGAAATTAAACTTTTTGTGATGAAAATCATATCTTACATCTCACACACATCGGAACCGACTTGTTATGACTTGCCGATTTTTCTTTCATCTTGGCCTAATTTGTGCACATATCCGTGTATCGTGTGTACAACAAAAAAGTGTATGCAATTTAAAGCATTCGTATCAATCATCATTGATAACCGTGGGCCGTGGCATCGGAACGGAAATGGGGAAAAAGCGTGTTGCAACAAACAAATAAAGACCATCTACGCAGGTATATGAGACGTCCAGCAATACGATATGCCGTGTAGGTGCGTCGGAATCGAATTAAATTACAACACATGAGCCGTAGAGTGGAAATAATGAGCCTATCGAATTTAAAGCGCAATCGCGATACGCACAACATTGTAAAGTAGTATTATACTAGTATTACCGTTCTCGATGTGGCTAAAGTGATGCATAGCGGCCGGCGGCGTCGGGAAGGTAGTCGTCGGCGGTTGTAGTGGCACGGTTGACGAGAGGGGCAGCGGTTGCATGGTGACCGTCGATGAAGCAGAGCCGCCATCCATTGGGGACCCGAAACTGCTGGAGGACCCCGAACGGCACATGCTAACCACCGCGTAGATTGGCACATTTTCTTTTTGTGGATTTTGTCCGTGTATGAACGAACTCTTATCGGTTATCAGCTCTTCGATGTCGGTGTTGGTGACAAGGTACCAATTCTTGGACTCGTTACCTATGGGCAGATCAAACAACCGATCCAACGAGGTAGACGGATCGCGGAAGTTACGCTTGTTACGGTTACGTGCCTGACGCACGGTCGGATCGTAGTAGGTCAGCTCGTTCTCGTTGTCATAGTAGTAGGGGTATTGGTTCAATTCACTCACGTCCGATATCTCATTACCAGGGTAAACCGTTACGATTTTTGCCTCCTCTGCATGCACGTGCTCCAAAAACGTGGATACCGATCCCGGTAGGTATTTTTCGTTCGGTGCCAACCAAACCAAAGGGGCCCACTTTCTTACGAGTGTTTCCACTGGAAGAGAAGAAGAGAAAAGAGAAAAACATGACATCAATTAATTGTCCAACACTTAACTATAGATCTCTTCAATGGAGAGGCATGCTTGACCTACGACAACAATATATGCAGGTACAGTACAATTGAATAATGAAGGCATTTCACCAGCTGATAGCTACCGAACGAATGCTTCGTCACATTTCGATGCTCATGTCCGTTTTGGGCTTTGTTTCACTTGAGCATTAAATGAGCGTTGCGGCTGTTGGCCGTTTACTGCAATATTCTTTTATGGTTTTTACTCGAAGCTAATATGCCACTAATTATGAAACTTGATATCACGTAGTCAGTGCAGGTATTAAGGTAACCTACTTATTTGAACGAAATTCATTGGTAATCTCACGCTCCAAATGCATTCGGTATGGGTCGCTTCAGTAATCACTTTCGCTGCAATGCAAATGATTTACTTAAGCTAACCACTCCAACCATGTACGTACGGCGTACCGTTTTTCCAGTAAATTGATTCTGTGTCGTCGGTTTGGCCAAGTATCGTTGTTGCCAAATAGGATAGGCTGGCACTTTATTTTAAAGCTTTATTGTATTACTTTTACTAGAGCCACAGTTTGTCACTATGTTTATAATGTATATATTTAGATTAAAAAAAAGCACACATTTCTACAAGGTCAGGCGTGTTCTTTATTGTACAACATAAATACGATTTTAAACCATTGACGCTAGGGGTTGTTCATAAACTACTAATTTCGATTGATAATTTGATTTGCAGCAAAATAAACTCAATAAATTCCTCCAACAAAAAAGCGTTAACAATATTTAACCCGGCTTCATGAGTGATTATTGGATAACTGGGAAAAGGTTGAATAAGCGCCTTTCAAGTTCACATACAACTAAACAGCAAGATAACAGCTGTATAGAAGCGTAGAGGGATATGCGAAAAGAGCTTCTCCCAACCGTCCCAGTCCTAATGCAATGATAGGGTAAGTGTGCTAGTTTTGGTCCTTGTGTATCGTTTCAAGCTCATAACATATAATGCAGGCTTCTATCTTTTCACGAAATTATTTAAATAAATTGTTGAATAAATACAAATAAATCAATCACTATAGCCAAAAACTGGTACACTAACCCTATTACACCCTTTTATAATACTTTTATGCAAATATTGCGTCTATTTTATGTTCAAAATTGTCTTCTTCAATGCAAAAAAAAAACCGTTCGAACCGTGCCAAAACCGAACGGAAATGTACCGGTACATTGAAATTAACTGTATTTTCATCGAACAATGATATAAATTTACATGAATGTGTAAATGTCAGTTTGAATTCATTGAACAACGATGTCAAAGACTGAAAATTGATTCGACTATTGAGAAAAAAGTTATCATTATATTGATTTAGACCTATTGCTTCGCGGATACCTACGGGCGTATATATGAGCTTGTAGACACAGACAAACAGACGTAACACTTCATTGTGTATCTTCGTTCATGCATTTAACGGTTGATTTGAATATTATCAGTTCCGCGAACTACTCGCCGCAGCGCTGGCATCGGATCAATTTGACGTTTCTATACATTCTATAGAACTTTTATGCAATATTGTTTACGAGTTAGCGAGCAAGCTTGTTTTCCGCGAGAAGCCAGAGAGATGTCGTTACTGAGGTTATATGTTTTGAGATACTATGTTTTCAAGAACAAGTTTTTCAAAGAGTTACGTCTGTTTGTCTGTGTTGTAGATATGTGTAGAACAGTTGGTCTAACGCAAAAGATTAGTAACTTTTTGTTGCGAAGATCAAATCGATTTGCAGTCTTCAAAAGTTGTTTTGTATAGTATTCTCAATCTAAGTCCGAGATTTGGTAAACATTTAGAAATTTTTGGATTTTTGGTAAGCAAATGAATAGGATCGTTTCGTTTCCCATACATTTCCCATACCACATTTGAAATTCTCCCCCAAATCGAGATTATAACCAAATTCGTTAAAATGTTGGACAGTTTTTGGGAACCTCAATACGTATTAAAAGAGTAGTGGAGAACAGGGGGTTGTAAAGTTGATCCAATTTAATGTACATACTAGGAAAGATGGTCATGAATACAGCAAATCGTAAACATTTGAACAGCAAACCGTAACAATTTAACGTATTTGAAAATTTATCAGGATCCCCCTATGAATTGTAGAATTTAAATTGCTGAATGAAATGACGTTGAAATGATACACCCCTTCAATTTCCAACCAACTCTGAAAATCGCTAACTTCGCGTATGAAGTAACATAAAAACACTTTGAATGTAACAACTCAAGGCGGGAGTAGCCGTCAACAATGCTGATGATGGTACAGCACGCAACAACCACCCTACTGCTTTCTCTCTCACGTTGGTCATGACGAGAGGAGCAACACAATAGTTGGGTAAAGAAGAATTGCATTATAACACACCATCGACTGGAAATGCTCTCGCAACGTGGGGCTTTAGGTAGTGATGAAAACGTCGCTAGAACTATTCCACAGCCGCAGTCAGTTTATGAGCAATAAGAGGGACGCACATTTTTGCCTGTGGACTTGGAGACATACTTCAAGTCCCCGCGTACATCGTACGGGTTAGGCAAAAGATGTGCGTCTATCTTTAAAAACTGCCGCATTACTGGCCCTTCGCTCATTTTCAACTTCTAAAGGGTGATACGGTCAAAATTTGGTCAAGGGAAAACGCGTGTAAATCGGTGAAATCGTTTATTTAAAAAATCAAATTAAATTTCTTTTTCAAGTTCAATTAGTATAAAATTCAGGAAAAATATTCAGTTAGGCTTCCGCTTTTCCAAATCCGAATTGCCGGGCCTTACGCTTGACCCCTGCCATCAGATTTTGTACAGCCACCTTGTCCACCTTCTTCGCCGCAGAAAGCCAGTTTGCCTTGAACTGCTGCTCGCCCTTAGCAGTTTTTTTTGGTCTTCTTTAGGTTCCGCTTGACAATAGCCCAGTATTTCTCAATTGGGCGGAGCTCTGGCGTGTTGGGAGGGTTCTTGTCCTTGGGAACCACCTGCACGTTGTTGGCGGCGTACCACTCCATGGCCTTTTTACGTTAATGGCAAGATGCCAAATCCGGCCAAAACAGTACGGAACAACCGTGTTTCTTCAGGAAAGGCAGCAGACGTTTATTCAAACACTCTTTCACGTAAATTTCTTGGTTGACAGTCCCGGAAGCTATGAAAATGCTGCTTTTCAAGCCAGAGGTACAGATGGCTTGCCAAACCAGATATTTCTTTGCGAACTTTGACAGTTTCATGTGCTTGAAAACATCTGCTACCTTTCCCCTTCCTTTTGCCGTATAAAACTCCTGTCCCGGAAGCTGCTTGTAGTCGGCTTTGACGTAGGTTTCGTCGTCCATTACCACGCAGTCAAACTTCGTCAGCATCGTCGTGTACAGCCTCCGGGATCGCGCTTTGGCCGTCGTATTTTGTTTATCATCGCGATTTGGAGTCACTACCATCTTGTAAGTCGATAGTCCGGCTCGTTTTTTGGCTCGATGCACGGTTGTAGACGATACACCCAGCTTATTTGCGGCATCTCGGAGAGAGAGGTTAGGGTTTCGCTTGAAACTACCGGCAACACTCTTTGTCGTCTCAGCGGCTTCCGGTTTTCGATTTCCCCCCGATCCAGACTTCCTGGCTGTCGACAAACGTTCCCCAAACACTTTAATTACATTTGTAACGGTTGATTTGGCAACTTTTAGCGATTTTGCCAACTTTGCGTGCGAGTAGCTCGGATTTTCGCGATGCGCGAGCAAAATTTTGATACGCTGCTCTTCTTGCTTGGACGGCATTTTGACAACTGAAGAGAGAATTCCAAAATCAAAATAGGAGCAACATTCTACACATACACACCTTCAAAATGAGGGGTGTTCAGGTTTTTTAAATGCAAAATTGAAAGAAATACGTCAAGTTGATATTGACCAAATTTTAACCGTATCACCCTTTATTCAATTTCCATACTGCCGTACTCTAACGGAACTATCCACCTACTCTCTTCTAAAAGATCATTCTCTAGCTAATAAATTATCACACTAAAAGCTTCATGTTAGCATTTCCAACCAACTCTGAAAATCGCTAACTTCGCGTATGAAGTAACATAAAAACACTTTGAAAGTCATGTAAAATTTAGTGCTTCGAGACTGAAAATTTCATATTCGACGAAAAGTACGGTTGATTGTACTGAATTTCGCGTCTATTATTACTCAATTTTATGTCAAAATTGACGCTCGTATATGTTAGTCTCAGAGCACCTAAATTTACATGAATTTTCCTAAGTGTGCATTTACGAGGAAGTATACGTTTACGATGCACTTTTTGAATAACCCTAGTGTTAAAAATATTAAAACGGACGTAAATCCTTAAAACAAAGAGATAGCGATTTGCTTTCTTCTGCAAAAACGTGCAAGCACTTAAAACCAAGGTGACTACATATAGGTGTTCTAATGTGTCAATTCAGCCATGTTGGATTTTTGTATGGGACAGCGACCAAGTTTGTTTACAATTTTCTCTAAAACCAAATTGGTAAACAATGTTGGGAGTGACAAGTTGACAAATTAACAACGTCGATCGGAATCATGTCGATTTTGTTCATTTTTCAACTTGTAACTCCCAACACAGCTTACCCATTTTTGGGTAGGTTCAGTTTTGACCGATCTGGGTGGATTCTACCCAAATCTAGGTAGTTTTAAAATTGCGTGCACTGATGCCACTGATATGAACAGTGTAATATGGGAAAAGGCTAGAAGACAATGAACAAAACAGTTTCGATTTCCCATAGTAATTTTCATATAAACTTCAAATGGTTTGTAAAAAGTCAGATTCTTACCAAACGAGTTTAAATTATCGACATCAATCTTCTTTCTATCTACTCAGCGTGCGCACAGCTAGTCACAGCAAAAACCCGAGGCAAAACTCAATGTTTTCTGCATCGTAGATAGAGTCACCCCCTCGAAAATTTAAACAAAAAAGTTATGGTAAAAAATGCTT